GCCCGTCCCGGCATGCGGGGGTGTGGATGCGCTGGGGCCGGCTGCGCCGGGGGATGCTGCCCAGGCCACGTCTGCTCCGGGCGCAGGGCTCCCGCGGGGCGGAGGCCGGGGGCTGAGGGCTGCCTCGTAGGGCCCTGCTCCCCTCTGTCATGGCTGGGGGGCTCGGGGGAGGGGCAGAGCCAGGCAGGAGGGGTGCGTGCCACCCACGCCAGAGCCAGGGATGCTCCTGGCAGGGAGGGGATCCCCGCCTGGCTTGGCAGGACGGAGCTGGCGGGGTCCCCGCCTCGGGGTCTAACCGGCGGCCTGTCTCCTGGAGCTGGAGGAGTTTGCGCACTTTGACTTCGGGGTCTGGCGGAAGCGCTACATGCAGTGGATCAGCCACATGAAGTCCCGGGTCCTGGACGTCTTCCGCGGCATCGACCGGGACCAGGACGGGCGCATCAGCCAGCGCGAGTTCATCGACAGTGTCCTTTCCTCCAGTGAGCGCTGGCGGACGTGGCTCGGGGAGCTTCCTGTCGGTCACCAGTGCTTGCGCTGGGCTCTCGGCCGGAGTGGCGCGAGCTGCGGTTCCAGGGGCCCTGCCCGTCGCATGCTGGCTGCAGCAGCCGGGCCGGGGTCATGCTGGGAGGCACTGGTGCATCCCGGGCTGAGGCGGGGAAGGGACCCGGGTGGTGGCCGGGGACGGTCCGGCCAGACCTATGGCCGCTCCACGGGCTGCTCTTGCTCCCCCAGAGTTCCCCACCAACGTGCTGGAGATGAGCGCCGTGGCCAACATCTTCGACACCAACGGCGACGGCTTCATCGACTACTATGAGTTCGTCAGCACCCTGCACCCCAACCGGGACCCGCTGCGCCGGGCCGGCGACGCCGACCGCATCCAGGACGAGGTGTGGGGATGGGGGCTGAGCCCTGGAGGCGCTGGGGCTCCGGCGCTGGGGGAGGGCGCTGCTCTGTGCCAGGCTGGGGCAGGGAAGCAGAAAGCCCCAAAGTGGAAGTCCTCCGTGAGCAAGTTCAACAAGGACAAATGCAGAGTCCTGCACTGAGGAGGAGCGATCCCGTGCACCGGTGCAGGCGGGGGTGACGGGCTGGGCAGAGCTCTGCAGAAAGGGACCTGGGGGGACAGGGGACAAGAAGCTGGACGGGAGCCAGCAGTGGCCCTTGCGCCAAGAAGGCGACCGGCATCCCAGGCTGCATCGGGAGGAGCGTTGCCAGCAGATGGAGGGCAGCGATTCTGCCCTTTTATTCAGCACCGGGGAGGCCACATCTGGATCCCGTGTCCAGTTTTGGGGTCCCCACTGCAGAAAGGACGTGGACACATTGGAGAGAGTCCAGCGGAGGGGAACGGAAATGGTTGTGGGGCTGGGGGACAGGACTGCCTGGGGCCGCAGGGTGGTGGGCGCAGGCTCGGCCCAGCCTTTGCGCTGACGCCGCGTGCGGGGCCGTTGCAGGTCAACAGGCAGGTGGCCCAGTGCAACTGCGCCAAGCGCTTCCAGGTGGAGCAGATCAGCGCCAACAGGTACCGGGTAAGCATCACGC